CCCAGCCTCGGGACACCCCTGAATATGAATCCAATGTAAAATAATAAAACCATGAATTTTATTTACATACACTTAAAACATATATGCATGTGTAACGGCCGCCGCCTTCAGCTCTAGCAGGGACGGAAGACGCAGCAGCCAGCCGCTCCTTCTCTCGGCCGCTTGCGTTCCATGGTGGAGCGCACGCTCGTCACTTCCGGTTTCGGGGCCGGGTGCGTTCCACCGTGGAACGCGGAAGTGCGCCGTTGCGTGCCGCGGCTCCTCCTCCTCTCCATAGCCATATTTAAGCACTCAGACGAGACAGCATGGCGTTCCACTATTGAGCCAGAACGCCTGCTGTCTCCTAGGACCCTCCATATACTCCAGACTGTGCCTACCAGCCATTCACACCGGAACCGGACACCCCAAAGGACCCCCAGCTACCTCCAGCGGCAACCACCTAAACAGCAAGTATTTCAGTGCAGTTGCACACTCTGAGATCAAGATTGTATGCCTGTGAAATACCATTTACAAATCCGTATCAACTTACTGGGGAACTGTACCAATGCCAAATAATACTGTTGTGCCTCCTATGACTTTCTAAATCAGTACTTTCTAATTGAACTCCGGAGCTTAATGATTGGGCTTATTTAGGAATAACCCTCTCCGAACCATTTATCATGTATTTTGAGGCTTTGATGCTAAGAACCCTAACTCTCTGTTAAGTTGAGAGTGAAACCAGGGTTCCCCGCCTGAGAAGCCTCCGCAGCTGCGATCCACAACCCCCCAGTCCGTAACAGGCGTGACAGCATGAAACATGCGACATTAAAATCGCGCTGGGTAATCACAAACCGCACAATGTTACATTGCGTACAGGCATCGCGAGTTCAGGCCTTTTCATGTGAAATTAACATTATAAAGGATAATATAGTTTTTTAGGCGAGGAAAAACTGAAGCTCCTTTTCTCAACGCATTTCGCTACAATGTAGCTTCTTCATGAGGTCATGGAGGCCTATAAACACCCAGCTGACATGGGAACAGCATGTAGTGAAGGCAACCAAATGCATCCACATCCATACAAAACATCTCCCCTTCAGGAGGCCACAGGAGAGGCAACAAAGGCAGGCTCTTTCAACACCATGGAACAATCCTAACCAAGGCCAGAACGGAAGATGCACACTCCTATGCAGGAATTTCATGTTGTATGTTTCATATATACATGTTTTAAGTGTATGTGAATAAAAATACATGGTTTGAATATTTTACATTGGATTCATATTGTGGCTATCTGGTTATACCTAAAAAGCCCCATTTCGGGTTTCATTTAGTTCTCTTTAGGGGTGTGGAACCAGAGACGCCTCCCTTGCTTGATCTGTTTATATACTTTTCAGGGCATTTAAGAATGAGACCTAAATTAGTGTAATAAATCTGTCGCTATATACACTAGAAATCAGGGATACGGCAGTTTAAAAGGCGCAGATGATGCAACAACATTGATAAATTTCTCCCATTACTGTTAATAGTGAAGGTATTTGAATGTATTTTTAAGGTTTAACTCCTGAGTGTAGTGCCACTTTTAGTGTACATGAAAAATAATTATATATATATATATATATATATACATACACACACACACACACACACACCCACCTTGAAATAACAGCACTACGTGGAAGTATTTACAGTCTAATGGACAGCAGAATAGAGGAGTAGATAGCAGACCCCTTCCTTTTCATTTCTTTCTTTTCAAAATACACATGCATGTCATATAAACTCCATTTTGCCTTGAACTTTCTAACTGCTGGTTAATTGGGTCATTCTCTCAGCTATCACTGAATTGCATTCACTGATGTCTGACAGTGAAAGTAGAATTATTCACATAGACACATGAAGTTGAAAACATTGTGATACAAAAACAAAATGATAAAATAATATCAGCACATTGTATGTGTACGGAGATGTGATCACACAGTACTGTACTGAGGACCTAGGAGACAGCAATAGAACAGCAGCTTACTAGGCTTGAATACCAAGCTTTAATAAAGACCACTTGTCAGTAATGGATCCTGACAGCTGATTTGATAAAGTAGCCCATATACTGTATCTGTCTATGTATACTGCATCTGGTGTTTATGAAGACATGCACCTATTTATATTTAACAAGACTACATTATCTCCTCCTTCACGCTGTTATAAAAATAAAGATTCATTGTGGTCATTCATGTCTGACATTCTATAAGGAATGGTGTATTTCTGTACCCGTAGTATGCCTTGCTGGAAAATCAACCTCACAGGTCTATGCAGCTACTCTGGTGAGATTGGTGAAACAGGGCTGTTTTTGTGTAGCTTCTAATGTCACTGCACATTATAATTTGGACTGCTGGGGATAGCTGACCTACTGACATTTACTGAAATTCCTCCACTGACATCACACTTTTGCTCTGGCTCAGCTTTCTCCGAGGTGTACAGAGGTTTGTCACCGACATACTTACACATCGCACACCCCACACTTGTACACTTCCATCACATTAGCATTGCCGTGGGTTATCATGTGATGGGCTGCATGTTTTTTGTGCGTTGTGGCAAGGCAGCCAATTTATCTTGACTGGACTGCCAATGCACCACAAGGCAGCAAATGTCACACCTGACCTTTATTTTTAATGCAACGCAGACCATGTGCAGTGCATGTGTGTTGACTGCTACTGTAACAGTGTGTTCGGGTGCCCAAATTGCTACAAATGAATAGCACCAAAACATATGTGCCTTGCTGTGCTGTGCCATAAAATGCACATTT